GCGGACGCCAGGAGACAGCGAGCCGTGCTCCTCGGCGAGGTCAAGATCTCTCTCTACCCAACTTTTCCCAACTAGGAATATCTATCCTACCCGTGGGTAGGAACCAGGGCGCTATTTCATCAACCTCACTTAAAAAATCCCTTATGCTGCACTTATGCACCTGGAGGCCTCTTGACTGTAATAGTTTATTAAGTGCAATCATGAGGTGATGGCCATTCACGTTTCCCATGTTGCTTTCGCTTTTTGCTTCTTAGCGATAAAGCTCACCCTACCTAAACAGACGCTGCTTCACAGCGTCACCTACCTCTTCACAGCAGCCCGGGTCTCTCTACGGACCCGTTGGTTACCCTGGCGCGTCTGCCACCACCCGCCTCTTCATGGCGTTTCCTGCCTCTTCACAGCAGCCCCGGGTCTCCTTTATGGACCCACCACCTCTATTGGCTCCTCGGCCGGGGTGAAACAATTAAGAAGGTACTCACGCTGTCCTACTTACTTTGAGAAGAGGAGGAGGGTCCCCGTACGGGCCACCACTTGACCGGCGCTGGGAAAAGACGAGACGGAGCTTCCTTCTTAGTTCTTGATCTCTTTATTTTCACGTGTCCTCCTCCCTCTTCTCCTTCTTCCTTCCTCTCTCCTCCTTCCTCTAACCCCTCCTTATATCCCCTTCGAGACCTATCAGTGGGCGCCAAGTACATCGCCTGACGTGGGCAATAGGCCAATAGTCAGCTGCCTCGTAGGGCTATGAGAACCAATCAAATCTTGCCAGCAGGGACCAAAAGCTATACAGGAAACAAGACTCGTAGCAGAAGCTCCAGCGGGAGGGGCAAGGCTGAGGAGCAGGGCGCCCGCGCCTGACAAACGGGGTCCCAGTAGGGCCTCAGAGGTCTTGTAGATGTGCATTCTGAACAATAATCCTCAGTGTGCGTGGCTACCAGAACAACTGCAGGGATTTTCTAAGCCAGGTTTCCCACACCCACACTCAGGCCAGCTGAGCGAGCACCTTCTGGCAGTGGTCCTATGTAGAGCTCTCTGTTGGTTCCCATGTGTATCTGAGGTTGAGCAGCCCTGGTCTGGGACAAGAAGGGGAGCAGCACCCTTAGGCTGGTGTTATCCGTGCAGATCCCCAGACCCATCCAGAGCTGCTGAGTCAGGAACCCAGCTGAGCTCAGTCCTGCATCGCTCTCATGCACATGCCCCAAGGGATCCTGGGGCCCGCTCCTGTGGAGCGCTGCCCAGGGGAATGAGCCTGACTGACTGCAGCTGCTTTCAAGGCGACCCTCACCAACAGTCATGCTTGGGCCGTTCTCACAGGAACAAAACGTGGGGCCTAGTGGAGGCTCTCGGTATGGAGCTGCCCCTAGGGCCTCTAAAGGCTTTTCTCACAGTTGCCACCATTACAGCAGCCCGGAGGGGGCACTGGGACAGGGGAGGAAGAATGCCACGCATCCTCAACTGTGGTGACCTGGGACGATGACAGTCCTGGGGACCTGGGGAGCCTGCTGCCGCAGGAAGAATCTGCCTGCACTGAAAAGCTGCCCTTGCTGCATCAGTGCGTGGCTCACTGCTTAGGAAACCTTCAAGTATTTTCAAATTGCAAGCTTCAGTATTCAGAGGTGGATGAATACAGCAAAGCGGTGGGGCTTTACAAAGCAGAGATTGAAAGCCAGTGGAGTGTGGATGAAGGAGAAATTAAAAGAATAAGTGGGCTTTCCCTTTTGAAAGAAAATCATTGTTGAGCATTAGGACAGAGAGTAACCAGCATGGAAGCGAATAACTGGGGGGTGACTCTTCCCTGAGAAGGCAGGCTGGCTATGGGGGCAGAGGCCTTCCTCCTGGTCCCAGCGCCTCTTGTTAGCAGTTGTGAACTTGGACAAATTAATTAAATTCTAAAATTTGCTTTCCTCATCTAGAGAACGGGATTGTAATAGCACCTACTTAGTTATAGTAAAGTGCTCAGTAAAGTGCTCTCTTCATAAATACCCCAAATTTAACTACCATTTCTGCCACCACCGCTGCCATTAATAGTATTACCAGCTCAGTGACAGCTGTGATCTGTATTGTGTGGCCCTCACAAAATTACAGAGGCTGGACGCTTTATAGAGAAAGGAGGATTCTTCAGCCCACAATTCTAAAAGCTGAAAGGCACTGCACTGGGCCAGCTCTGGTGTGGGTCTCATGCTGGGTTACACTGTAGCAGCAGGAGCATGGGCGAGAACAAGGAATAACACATGTGGTAGGATTCAGGGTAAGTAGGAAGGTCCCTCATACCAACCCATCCTTGGGAGAATTAATCCAGTTCCATGAGACGGACCCACTCCTGGAGACAGCAGAATCCATCATGAGAGTGTGGCTCTGTGATCTAAGAACCTCCCCTGGCCCATCTCCCATTGACCCCACCACCACCCTGCAGACCAACCTTGCAGCACACGAACGTTTGAGGAGGGAACCATGCCCACACCGTGGCAGGGACCTAGAATAAGACTCCAGATATTAGCTGCTCTCGTCATTCTTGTAACTGTACTGGGAATGCCGAGCCTCTGTATTACTCTTGCACCTCAGGAGAGGACTACAACCAGCCAGGCAAGCCCAGGACCCCCTGAGAAAAGTATCTTTGCTCAAAATTCAAGAAGCATATTTGAGTCTTCTACTGAGAAGCCATGCCATGCATACAATAAGTTAATCTATGCTGCTGAATAAACCTCCAATCCTTAGGGGCTTAACACGGCAAAGATTTATTTCTTGCTCATGTCTTGTTCAAGAAGAGTCAGTTGATGTCTGTCTGCATTTTGAAGTATTGACTCAGAGATCCAGGCAGAAATCTATCTAGAATATATTCCCAAAATCCAGATTTAGAAACTGCTACACTTAGTGGCTTTCACCCATGGATCCAAGTTCTAGGATTAGTCTTAACTTTCCAAGTTAATTATTCTGATGCCTGTGAATCTATTCATCACATACCACAGATTGGGCCTCATAACTGTCGTGGTTCTCACTTCAATATGATTGTCTACCGGTATGAATGACATAGCACCTCAGCTCCTTCACTGTGCAGAGGACATGTGCTCCTCATTGCACAGCTTGATTTGCATTCTTGAGTTGGGGGGGGGGGTGCGTGATAATAAAATTAACAGTTTTAGTTTAAATTGCCTGAAGTATGCAATGGATTCGACTCCTCATCATCTATGCATCCATTTCTCTTTACCTTTCCCTCTCTCCCTCCTTCTCTCCTTTCCTCCCTAACCATTGCATACCAATGGCAGCAGGAATCTCCATCTTGGCAAGTCCACCAGGAGACCAGGAATCAGAGGGATTTGCTTTCTCCGAGTGATCGCCCTTCCGCCCTGTGCAGGTGGCAGCCCTCTCCACAGCACGCCCAACAGCGCAGCCTCACAGCAGGCACGGTGGGCGAGACCAACTGCCACACCAGGACCACCCCAGCCCTGTCTTACACTGACGCCTCTCGCCCCTCTTCCACCTTGCCACAGGTACCATGTCTGTGTGACCGTGCTCATCTACTTCCTCCCCCTGCTGGTGATCGGCTACGCCTACACAGTCGTGGGGATCACACTCTGGGCCAGTGAGATCCCAGGGGACTCCTCTGACCGGTACCACGAGCAAGTGTCTGCCAAGCGCAAGGTGAGCGAGGGGCAGTCAGCGCCCAAACCCCCGCCCAGCACTGGCAGCAGGCCAGCTACCAAGGCTGGCAGGTGTGAGAGCTCCCAAGGGATCAGGCGAAGAATCTTCCTGGGGGAGGGAGGGGACAAAGGAGAGAAGGGGAGAGACCTTTCTTTATACATACTCATACACTACACACATGCACACACTCCTACACATACACACTCACACAAATGTACACACATACACACTCTCACTCACATACACACACACACACACACACACACACACACACACACATGCAAACATATACCAAAACAGTTGTTAGCACTGTTACTTGTTTCTCACTGGCCCTTGTAAATATTGGAATTTATAAATCCATAAATATATTTATTTTCTCTTTGTCTTTACACAAATAGTACATGCAAAGTGTCACATTCTTCACTTAAAATCCACACAAATACCAGAAATCAATAGAGAAAGAGTTTTCTCCTCCTCTGCTCTCTTTGCTGCCTCATACTTGTTTGCATAGCATTTCGCTGTATGGATGTTGTATCCTTCTGCACTGAAGTTTTCTTTTCTTTTTTTTTTAAATTATTTTATTGAGAAACAAAGAGCAATGAGACAGTTTCAAAACCGATTAGTAAGACAGTTTCAATAATTAATACATTGTGTGTTGTTGTCTTCTTAGTGGTTATTCATAGTACAAGATGCAGACGGGATATCCTGTCCACAAACAGTATTAGTACAAATCTTTCTTCTCATTGAATTAAGAGAAAGTAGCTGTATATCTATCCTAACTGTTTTGTATATACAGATACAAAATGGTCTTTCATTTATATCCCGTTTTTTTTGTTTGTTTGTTTGCTTAGTTTTGTCAGAGAAGGGTATTCCCTTCCCATTTAAATATTGTAGGTGTGTGGATTCAGCAAAATATTCCAATATAGTCCAGTAGTCCTTAATAGTAGTGGGTTTTCTGTAGGACTGGCAGTGTCAGAAGTTGTTGACTTGAGCCTTTTACAGCTCAGCATAAAAATATGGCTTTACTTTTTATACCTCATTTTCATACTTTTCTGCTGGATGGTTAAGACCAAGATAAAGCAGGACCTATATAACAAGAAATGTAGCTTTTGTATTCGATAAAGTCAGTCAAATCCCTTCAGGATTAATCCTGAAACCCTGTACCACAGTTTGTGAATCCTTTGTTAGTGACAGCCTTGTGGATGAATCACAGTCATTGTTTGACCAATTTGCTCTCTGTGAAAGCCTGAGGAAATGTTTTCTCTTCAAAGGTAGGTTTTTTGTTTTGTTTTGTTTGTTCGTTTTGGCGGAACTGGGAAGTGAACTCAGTCCCTTGTGCTTGCCAGGCAAGCACTTATTCTACTGAGCCATCTCTCCTGCCCCTGCACTGAAGTTTTCTTGGGGATGAAAAGGTTATCATCCAGAATCTTTGTCCATTGATATAATTATAGCAAAATATCTTTGGGAACTTGGTTGTTATTTGAGGGGATTGTTCTTGTTTTCTGAAGCTGGGTAGCTCAGGTTGACCTTGGATTTGTGGCAGTCCTCCTGCCTCAGCCTCCAGAGTGCTAGGATTACAGGTATGCATCACCATACTTAGATCTTTGGGAACTTTTAAATACAGAAATTTCATTTCTCTGGAGGTCCTAACATCCAAGATCAAGGCTCCAGCAGACTCAGTGCCTCGTTGGAGCTGTTTCCAGGTTCGTAAATGGTGACTTCTTGCTGTGTCTTCACATCATCGAAGGGGCAAGGATTGCTCAAGCCCCTTGTAAGGGCACTAATGCCATTCCTGAGTCTCTACCCTCAAGGCCTAATGGCTTCCCAAATACCACCTCCTAGTGCTGCCACTTTGGGGGTCAGGATTCCAACATCTGAGTGTGCCCTCTAAGAACCGCCCACAAAACACAAGATTCTTAGTATCAAATAATTTTACAGGTCCCTTCTCCTCCTCAGAAGGCACATTAGGAACATCCCCTACCCCTCTTCACACTGTGTGCCGTGAGGTTGAGAGCAGCCCCGAGAGACAGGGTTCCCTGTGGCTCACCTGCCTGACCCTCTCCCCAGGTGGTGAAGATGATGATCGTTGTGGTGTGCACCTTCGCCATCTGCTGGCTGCCCTTCCACATCTTCTTCCTCCTGCCCTACATCAACCCAGATCTCTACCTGAAGAAGTTCATCCAGCAGGTCTACCTGGCCATCATGTGGCTGGCCATGAGCTCCACTATGTACAATCCCATCATCTACTGCTGCCTCAACGACAGGTGAGGAATCCCCACCTCATGCCCTTTCCAGGGGCCACAAGCAGCCAATCTAAATGAGCACGGCTGAGGGCTGGCAGTATAGCTCAGTGGACTAAGCACTTGCTTTGGTAAGCACAGGGGCCAGGATTTGATCCTTGGCACCCCATGCTGCACCCGCTCTGCCCCTGGGCACACTGATGGAGTCCAGGCATGGTGGTGCACACCCGTAATCCCAGCACTAGGGAGGCAGAAATCAGGAGGATCACTATGAGTCCAAGCTGCATAGTGAGACCTGGAAAGAAAAAAAAAAAAAAAACCTTAAAAAATAAAATAAATGAATGTGGCTGGCTGTGAGACAAGAGGGAGAAATGGGGTCTAACTAAGAAATCACCACACTATCCAGCTGGTCATGGCTCGAAACAATCTGAGCCTGAGACATCCATGGACTGATTTTCACTTGTTTTTCAAGAGGAAGTAGAAATCCATATTTTTGTGTGAGATCTTCTGATTTTAAATACATACTGGCAACTAATTAAATCAAACTAGGAAGCTCTGAGATGGGTGCATATAAGGCATCCTGTCAGCTCAATGTGCTTTCCCATCCCAAAGTACAATTTGGGGCTCCCAAGTCTCCCCAGATGCACCTAGTATTTCCAGCAGGACATCACCTCCCCTTACATGGTCAGAGGGATTTGGGGCAACCATCCAGTTATCAGAAGTCAATCTCAGACCAGTGAGAACAGAAAGCCACTAGGGAATGGTGGTCAGTGGTAGGAAATTCACTGTGGCAGGTAGACGGTTCCCAAGAGGGCCTGGGATGCCCGGCTACAACACATTGTGTCATCCAGAGAAGTATTCCAGCTCTGTGCAGAGAGGAAGAGGAAAATACTTGATGCTGTCTTTCTGCTCCTCAGTCCTCAATCTGGGGTGACCCATCTGTGAATCAAGCCTCAGATACTGAGTCTGGGAAAAACGTTGAAGTTGCCCAAATGATGCCTATTAACCTAATTCATACATTCATCCTTCTTCTAAGAGCATGACAACCTGCTTACATTTAAGGGACAAATCTTCCTATGCATCTTTAAATAAAGGCAGATTCTCCCTGTTTAATAAGCAGAAAAACTGAGGCATGTTGAAATGATATGACTGGGAGAAATTTTACCTGCAATCATTGGTTCACTTGAGAGAAGGACTGAGACGGGGTATGTGTTTTTACCAAAAGCCTGGTGACTAGCCCAGTAAGGGACACACAGAAAACTGTTGGTGAGTGTTTTTGTTAATGTTGGATTGACCCATTTGGTGAATCTCAAACCAGAGGAAACAGCATAATCCAGGGACCACAGTCAGATGAGACCTGAATTTCATACAAACATGTGTTCTAGTCTTGGATTTGACCTCAGTGAATGACCTTGATCTTTCTGACCACAGAGTCTCCAGTAGTTAGTTCACTTAAAACTCAGTGACATTCGTGCTCCAGTGCATCCTGTGTTGGACAGCAGATGCAGTGGTGGGAACACCTGGGAGCAGACCGTCCCCGAGGGTCACCTCTCTCTCTCTCTCTCTCTCTCTCTCTCTCTCTCTCTCTCTCTCTCTCTCTCTCTCTCCAGGTTCCGCCTGGGCTTCAAGCATGCCTTCCGTTGCTGCCCCTTCATCAGCGCAGGTGACTATGAAGGCCTTGAGATGAAATCCACCCGCTATCTCCAGACCCAGGGCAGTGTGTACAAAGTCAGCCGCCTGGAGACCACCATCTCCACAGTGGTGGGAGCCCATGAGGAGGACCCTGAGGAAGGCCCCAAGGCCACACCTTCGCCCCTGGACCTGACTTCCAATGGTTCCTCTCGCAGCAACTCCAAGACCATGACAGAGAGCTCCAGCTTCTACTCCAACATGCTGTCCTAGGCAGTACCCCCGGCTCCTGTGGGTGTGGCTTTGGTCAGCTCTGGGCTGTTTCATTCACGCATGGGTACTTCCTTGATTTGGAAACCATCAGAAACACCTGAACATTGGAACTTTTGGAAGGATCAGAATGGTTTAGAAAAAGCAGTCTATTCTAAAATCAATTTGGATTCATCCACAGCATTGCCACCCCCCATGCTACATGACCTAGGGCTTGAATAAGTGAACTTCTAGAAATCTGTAAAAAAGAAGCTTAAGTAAGACTTTCTCTATGATTCAATCTGTGATTCTAGAAGTGACTTGCACTGTATGTGGGTGCTCATTTAAGGATGAATTCTGCAGCACGGTAACAGAGCCAACAGGTCTGTTTGCTTGGAGCCTCTGTCTTAGTAGTCATTCTCAGACATCCTCAGATCAGCTTCCTTCAGCTGGTGGTTCACATCACTCCAGCCTCCACTTGACAGGGTAAAAGAATGAGTGTGCTACATAAAATCTGCATGGAAGACCTAACCTCACCCATGAAAAGAAGACCTGTCTGCCCCTTTTTGAGATCTCAATATTTCCTTCAGTTCGTTTAAACATGATGGGATCGAGAGCCTCAGGCTGTTCTGCATTGTGTCCCCAGTGGCCACGCTCAGCAATCAGTACAGGCAGAATGTGTCTACTGACGCCACCTAATGTGTATGTTGACTGAGAGTCAGGAGGCTTAATCTATCTGATCCTCTGTCCTTATGTATAAAGCAGCAGGGCGCAACTAAATCATCTACATGTCCCCTAGAATCTTAATGCTCTGTGGCTCAGTGATTGTATATATTTTTATTTGTTTCAGCAAAAAATAGTAGTTGTAAAGTAGAAGCAGTGACACCCACCTCCTGGAGATACAGCAACTGCTAACACATGTAAATAGCCATCTCAGACATTCTCGCATTTATCCTGAAACCCTGAGTGCATCCCTCCTTCCCAAAGATCTTGGTCTTTAGCAGAGTAAAGGACTTCAGGATGAGGCCTGTATCTCTCTAGCAGGCCTGTGCAGGTGAGCAGCTTGAGAAGATCGCTGAGGAACATCAGCATGTGAGCTTCCTTCTCTGTCCTTTCGGTCCCGTAGGGCAGAGGCACTAACCCAGATTCTGATCTGCATGCTAGCATCAGGCATGTGCTCAGAAGCTTGTAGAGTAAGACTGCTACCCCCTACAGCTGAACTTCCAGGATGAGGCACCTTGTATCTTCTCTCAGACTCTGAGAATTCCGTTCATGTCCCATAGCTTTGCTGGTCTCCTATTTATAGGGAGTACAGTGACCTGACACCCTAAAGCTTTGTTAGTCCACCAAGAGCATGCACTGAGGATTTCCTGTCCCAGTACAGCTTTGGCATCTCCAGCAAGTGAATACATAGTTTCTTTCTGTCTCCTAGATCTGTGTCTTGTCCAGATGTGGCTGGAAACAAAAACTTAATATAGCATTCATGAATGTCCTCCTCATAGTTTGAATACAGGATGCATCCAAAGCGGGGAGCAAAGCCACCTGTAGAGTTTGCAGCCTTTACCAATCCAGCTAACACTAAACCTGCAAGGGTATCACACATGTACAGGATGATGTATAAAAATAGTGTATGCCAGAAAAAAAGCAGGAGGATCATTTTCTGCCAAACAGTATGATACATACCACAAACACTAAAGAAAGCCAGACTGATGCAGATCTATGAGTGGGAAACCGCATTTAAAGGCAACAAAATTCCATGACCAGTGTCAGTTGCACTTCCAATAGAGAACTGTTCCATATGCAGATGTTGAGAATTGACATGATCCTGAGAAGTATCCAGAAAAGTACACAGAAGTGGAACCATCCCACCTACAGAGAAGATGGTTAGAGTTGAATTCAATAAAGACTAACTGAGCACCTGCTCCAGACTGAGGCATGAGCCAGGGACATGCAGCTCCTGCTGCTGTGGACAAGCTCACAGGACCTGCCACTCCTAACTTACTGAGCCCTGTGAATCTGTCTGCCTAGCGGGGATAAAGGCATCTGAGAAGCAGATTCTTCCCAGGGTAATGAAGCCAAAGACTGGATGTTCTGAGAATCTTCCCTTTGAGAGTTCTCTGAGACATTTCAAAGGGAGCCATCAGTCAGTCCCGTGGACCTAGAGGGATATGGCTGGACAGTATCATCTCTGTGCATCATAACAGGGAGTGTAGGATGGCTCTAGACAGCTTTGGATGCAGAAAAATATCAGAGAGTACCAGCAAGCCTTCTATTGTCTCACTCTTCAACATCCATTTAATTTATGAAAATGTTGTCAGGTCTCCATGTGTGAGGAGCACCATGATTTGCACTGTGCATGGATCTCATTCTTAGTATAGAGATGTGCTGTCTGTGTTCATCTCCTCAGTGTGTTTCCTTGGTGTACTGCCAATAGTAATAAAATAGCAGACACAATGGGGCCATCTTTGTTCTATTGCTTCCAAAATGTGGAACCCAGTTGTTGTCAGTGTGTCATGTTGTGGCACTCTCTTCATCACTGTTCTTCCTTGGGAGAGAGTTCTGATTTATCTCACTTATTCACAGTAGCTGGGAAGTGTTGAGGGGACTTTATAGGAGAAGCTGGAGTATTAGAGCCCTGGTCCTCCTCAACCCCTACCAGAATGCTAAGGCATCAGAGTTAGTGGAATCCTGGGGAAAAAAGACTCGGAAGATGACTTAATTGGCCTGGATTTAGGGGAGAAATGTGGGGGGAGGGAGCTATTCCTGAGGCCTCTGTGGTTTTTATCCTGAGATCCCGGAAAGCATGTCCATACAGAAATAAGAATATTTTTCACTGTCTTATGTCTTTGTCTCCTCTAGGGAACAGAAACTCTATAGAAGGTTGGATAGGGTGTTATAGGGAACCTGCATCATTTGTATGGCTAGAAAGATGAGATTGGACAAAGCATCCAGGAAATTCCAAACTCTGTGACCAAATGGAATCAGGGAAGTGTTTCCAGGCTAGGATTGGGGAAGCTGAGATGGGATTGGATGGAGTGGCCAGCAATGTCATTTGTGAATAGAGCTTTTTGGTTCTTCTAGGCTGTCTAAGAAGCAGACACCATGGTAGAGCCGGAAGTGGAAGAACGGCCAGGCTCTGGGTAAGGAGTTAACACTTAGGATACAGGGATCAAAGAAAAAGCCAAGGGCTGCACAGATGACCGCAGGCCTCACCACCCATTTTCTCATCAGAGCTTTGGGTCAGTCCTCTATGTTCAAAAACAGACAGAGAAGCCCTGGCAGGTTGGAAATGTCAGAAGCAATCAGGTGAGCCCAGAAGCACGCTCCCATTCCTGGGCCAGCTGTGCCCTCTATGGGGCCTGCACAACCTGGGGTGCCTCAGCCCTCAGGCAGCACCAGCAAGAGAGCAGTGGGCAGCCTCTAACAGAATTTTGGTGATGACAACCATACAGGAGTTAGGTGAGCAGGTTTAAGGAATGCATAGACAGCTATCCACAATAGTAAATAAAGAAAAATTACAAACTAAAGAAGAGGCCTGGGAGACAGTTGGTGGTATAAGTGCCTGCCTGGCAAGTACAAGGTCCTGAGCTTGATCCATGGTTAAAAAAAAGAGCAGGGGAGATGGCTCAGTGGAATAAGTGCTTCCCTGGTAAGCACAAGGGTTTGAGTTCAATCCCTGGTTCAAAAAAAAAAAAAGTGATTTAAAAAAAAAGGGAGGGCCAGGGAGATGGCTCAGTGGAATAAGCGCTTCCCTGGCAAGCGTAAGGGCCTGAGTTCAATCCCCGGTTCCGCAAAAAAAAAAAAAAAAAAAATACTATTGGAAACTAATAATGAAGATGTTTCTATTTTAATGAAGGCATCTTATGTGGGTGTGCTTGGGTATTTAAAGTCTGCAAGTCACCTTCGAGAGCCCCACAGACATGTAAAACACATGTGTCTTAAATGGTGCCATTAAACCCGAATCCGAATCTGCTCCAAACAAATCATTAACTCTCTATTCTTTAGAAAGAGGAGACATTAAGTTGCTCATAGGAGAGAGACAAGGAGCCTTGAGACCTCCCACGCGCAATAAGAAGCAGATGCACCTCGGAAGAACCAGACTGACCGCGGGGAAGCAGAAACAGCCTTGGAATAAAATGATCATTCAAATCAGGCATTCAGATGAATTAAAGCTGTAGGACGCCATTAAAGATATTGGTGAAAGGGCCAGGGAGATAGCTCAGCAGCCTAAGTGCCTGTCTGGTCAAAGGGCAAGGGCCCGGGTTCTATTCCTGGTACTGCATGCAGTGCCGGCCCAGTGCCGAGCCTGCCACCAAAACTGGGCATGGTGGCTCATGCCTATAACCCCAGTGCCGGGGAGGCTGAAATAGGAGGATCACTATGAGTCTGAGCTGCTAGCAAGACCCAGTACCAAATAAATAAATAAATATTTAAAAAGAAGATATTTGTGGAGGTAAAAACACCCAATTCATGATGGAGTTCACTCTCTCTCCTCCATGGAGATTTGGTAACTGAGGAAAGGAAAGATTGCAACTAAGTTATGGGTCAACCAATAATAAAAGATGTGGAGCACAGACCTTCGGTAGAAACATAAGCATGTTTGCACTTATCCATGGCTTCATATGATCCGCAGGCAACTGAAAGTGGCTTACTCTCCCCTGGTTCCCTCAAACCTCATTCATAAATAAATTGTATGTGTGTGAGTGACCTCAGCTCTGGAGCCCAGGAACAGTATTTCAAGTCGTGATTCCAGAGATTGGAAAGGTGGAGATGCACAAACAGTGTTTCTCTCCTTCACCTTCAAACAGGAAGGAAGCATCTGATTATAGACCTTGCTTCCCCAACCCCAAAGGCAGTGCTCTGAGACAACACCACCATTTATTTCTGTCCAGTGCAGGAAAACAGAAGGAAGAGCAAAGAGCTGTATGTACATATGATACATCGCATTTCTCAATAGAAAGGGGTCATGAACTTTTGGTCTCGTCTTTTCTCTCAAGCTGGGCAGCTTGAATGGAGAAAAAGCCTGTAATTAGGAAGCAGCAACTAAGGGATACCAGTCATGATGTGAACAAAATTGGGTGGCAGCACTCTCTTCCTGTCACTTCCATGGTATGTTAGCAGTGTGTCTGCTGCTAGCTTTGTGGATTTTCATTCAGGCAATGTCTGGCCTAGGTTTTCTACATTGTGTGCATGTGTCTCCTGCCTTATTTTATTTCTCATTCCCATTTTTTCTCCACTCTTTAATCCAGTCTTGCCTCCACCCCAGAAGACCTTCATGTCAGAAGCAGCCCTTCTGACATGTGCCCTGCTGAAATCTCTACATTTTACCTTCCCGGTGCACTAATCAATAGAGGGTTTGGTACATGCTATGAACTGTTTGTTTGTGTCCCACCAATTTCATATGCTAAAACTCTAACCCAACTGTCAATGCAATAGTAGCAGAATATGGGGTTTGAAGAGGTGATTTGTCTGTGAGAGAAGAGTCCTTGTGATGGAATTACAGTCATTTTGAGCAAAAGTATGAGAGAACTTGCTCCTCTCTCCACAGGGTAAGAAGACTGCCAAATGCAGCCCTAGAAGAGTGCCCTGAGAGAAACTGACCACGATATCAGCTTTATCTTACACCTCCAACCTCCAGAGCTATGGAATCCTATTGTTTAGTCTGCCTCATTTATAGCCTGCTCTTATGGCAGCAGACTAAGACATCATGGTCATTAGATGAGACCAATAGGGATCCTTATTCCTATTAAACTTTTGTCCTCAGCTGTCATGGTGGGGGATAATCCTTGCCCTCTCTTCTGAGTTTCTCTCATTCTTAGGACTTCTTCAGCACTGCATGTTCATATTACCTGGACTACATCTGTCTACTCAGTAGAATGGGAGAAAGGACACAGTGAGATGTCCTCAAGGTCATCTTGATAGAGGAAAAGGCATGTTAGTGAAAGGAGAGCACATTTTAACACGCTCCAGAAATGTGTCATTCCCTAAAAGTGGAAAAATAGAACTGCTGCCTTCCCGCTCCCCATCTCAAATGTTATGATAATAAAAACAATGATAATAACTATAACACTACTATCTTCAGGATCTCTAGTACCAAGCACTTTGCATACATTATCAAGTTCAATTTCATATGCCATGAAGAGCCAGCGTCATTATTTTTCTGAATTTAATATGAAATAAGACAGGCATAGTTGAAGTGACTTGTCTGAGAACTGAATCCTAATAATAACTACTTTAAAATTCCCCTGTCCTAAGCAGGATTCCCTCCTGTCTCCTTTATTCATCTGGTCATATTTCTAGACTTCTAGCCTCCTCCTCCATGTGCCACAGTCCATGCTACAATGGCCTTCCTAGACACATAGCCAGATGTGTTCACAAGGTAGTGTTTCCCAAGTTAGAAATTTTCCATACCTCCATCAGACCAAGAGCATATTTCAAAGGGAAAATCATCCTCATGCCCCTGTAGTCATTCCTACAGCTAGAATGTACAGGAAGCATAGAATGTGCAGCTTCTATGATTTGAAGAGAGGTTGTGTCACTTCCTCTGTGAAGAAGAGTGCCAGGAGACTGAAGAATATGCCCAGAGATAGAATGTAAGACTCAGTACATAGTAACAGAAAAGATTAAGGCTGAGCAAGACTTACTAATAGGGAAGGAAAGGATCCAGTGAAAATAGGCCGGACAGATCACCTGCAAGGTCTAGTGTCTGGGCCAGAAAAGAAAAATCAGGAGGTCCAGTGGTGGCTGGCCAGACAAGAAATAATCAGAAGGTACTCAGAATGTCCAGTGGTAAGCAGCTAGACTACAGCACTTCATAGTGTTTGGTTCCATGCCCAGTTACCACAAGGAAGAGCATTTATGGAGTAAAACTACATATGCGTTGACATCGTTAGCTTGCCTTGTTCCATTATGTAACTAGCATTTCACAGAACAGCTAACTTAGCATATAGGCAGAAAGGCAGTTTTTACAAATAACACTAATTACTCAGTTCCCGCTATCCTTCAGGGTTCATGTGGACAGCCCAGTCCCTGTCCACTCACTATGTCCCTTTTACTTCGAGAATACAAAGAAGCTTTTTGGGGACATGGTGTTAAATGTCCTACTTTTTCTTAGGGATGATGACACAGCTTGTTAAGGATTTCCAACTGAAGTTAATCTTGGCACATTTAGTCTTTGGTGTATAAAATTCCCCAAATATGCATTTCTTTAGAGGACAAAGTCTTCTTTTAAAAAGACAAATGTCACTAGAAAAGATGATTTACCTTTATAACTAACAACTTAGGAATCCATGCCCATCTTTAAAATCAGATTTGGGCCAGCAAAAGAGCTCATTGGTCTAAAGCATCTGCTTAGG